TGAACTTCAACCACAACAATACACGAGCACACAATAGATACAAACTTAAGGTAAACTACACCAAACTCAATTGCAGGAAATACGACTTCAGCAACAGTGGTCAATGTCTGGAATACTCTATCTGATTCTGTGGTTTCTTCCCCTAACCCCAAAAACTTTAACCTTAGACTGTCTACTGTTGACCTCAGCTCATTCCTAAGAGGTCTTTAAGGGGCATACATAAGCGCACCAATGTGGCTACTGTCCCTGTCCTAATATTCCTTTTTGTTCATATCCATTTTATGTATTAATAATCATGTTTATACCCTGTTTCTCCAACAATACAGCCTCCCCCAATAGGAAGTCCCAGCATGTTTTATAGGCATGAAATGAAATAAGCCCCTCCCCCCAAATTAAGGCCTATATTAAAACATGCAAAATGGGGGGAATTGTGGGGGGGCTTGCCGTTAGGAAGTACTTTTGTTGCACACCAGGATATGGTGCTGCCTGCGTTGACCCCGATACGAAGTGCCCCACCAACGCCGAGGTCAACATCCAAGCCGTCGCCACCTGCCCGAAGATGCAAGGGGGCGGAATTAAGTCACCCCCGAAAAGACGGCCTAGCCATTTTTTCGGGGCTCAAAAAAAAATAAGACCCGGCCTTATTATATGAGAAACACGGTACTTATACCCGTTATCTAATACATGCTTGACAAAATAAAGAAATAAAATAAATAAATAAAAATAAAGATCTCTGCTCTAACACAAATGTATGCAACCCTCTAAGTTACTGATTTTTCTGGCAGATTGATTGATTGATTATTTCATTCAATTTTAATTCCAACTGATAGCTGGATTACTCTGGGAAGCTTACAGATTAAAAGAAAAACAACATGTAAATAAAAAGAGGTCCTGGCCAAAATAAGTCAAAATTAAATCTCCCAGAATTCTCAGCCAGCTCACTTTGACCTGGTGCACTCTAATTAAAATGTGGCCCAACTGAGAGGTAGTGTGGTAACCCATATGAGAGAAGGAGTGATAGCCAAGCTGAAAGATGGAGAGGCAGCCCAGAGACCCAGCCTGACACCTGAATGGAGGCAGTATGGTGCAAATGGAGGCCACTGAGCAGCAGTGAAATGGAACTAGGAGGCAGCAGACCAACAGCAGTAAGCAGCAGAGCAGACCTTGAGTAGCAGCAGTACAGAGCTAAGTGGCAGAGGAATGAAACAACCAGAGCAGTGACTAAGAGTAGCGCACTGGACCAGCACTGGCTGAGAGCAGTGCAGAGGACAAAGTAAGCAGTGGCACCAGAGGTGGTATTCAGCCAGTTCTGACAGGTTCTGGAGAACTGGTAGCAGAAAATTTTAGTAGTTCTGAGAACCAGTAAGTACCACTTCTGGTTGGCCCCGCCTCTAACTACTTTCTGCCTCCCGAGTCCCATCTGATGAAGTGCATTTAAGGGGAGTGCATTTAAGGGGAGTGCATTTAAGGAGAGGTGAATCCTCCTTTGGGGTGAATCCTTTGGGAGAATCCTCTGGGAAGCCTGGCAGGGAAAGAAGGAGGGAGGGAGGGTAGCACCCCCTTAAATGCACTCCCCTTAAGTGCACTTCATCTCCTTGAAGGGCAGAAATAGGATGGAAATCCACCCCCTGGATTTCTCCTGGCAAATCCCAAAGACACTCTTTCCTCTCTCTCTCTCCCTCCCTCCTTCTTTCCTCACCAAGCTTCCCAGAGGATTCTCCCAAAGGGGTGAGGAGGAAGCTGCCCAGCCAGTCTGTATTCTTAGGGAACTGATGGAGGGAATGAGAGTAAAGAAAACTTAAAGAGGGGGGGAAGGTCCATGGGGGGGTGTTTCTGGCAGCTGGAGCAAGAGGAGAGCTCCCGACCGTACAGGGGACGAGACCGTGACCCGAAGCTGTGGGGCGGGAAGCAAAGCAAGGCAGGGGGGGGGGAAAACGATGGCATCATCCTCCCACCACTGCTTCTACCCACCGAAGCCAGAATGACTCACTGACTTGCAGGACGTTGTCGATGCAGCTGCTGTCAAGCAAAGCAATGCCTCTGTGGGAGGACAGGCAGTTCTCGTCGGCAGTGGGGTCTGTCCTGCTGCTGCTGCCACTGTTGTTGGAGACAATGCTGGCGAGACAGGCGTCACTGCCGGTGGGAACCGTGGAAGCTACGGAGGCAGCTCCCCCACCTGAGAAGCGACTGAAATGCTGCCAGTGGAGGAATGTACTCAAACCGTTCCTCCACCCACTGGAAGGGCCACTTCTCCACTACCGCCATGCTGCATTGTCCAGCACGGACTCCCGGCCTCTGCATCTTGCCCAATGGCAGCAGTCCAAACATGGCATAAGCCGTGGCGAGGGCAGAAGGGAAAGCGACAGTGTTGGAGGAAGCAGCAGTGGCACAAAGTGCCCCACCGAGGCCGACATCCATGCCACTGCCACCCGCTCACTGACCCAGCCTACAGCCAGTACCATACCTGGCTGCTAGATGGCCTAGCTGTTCTTTCGGAGGTCAAAAGAAAATAAGGCCCAGCCTTATTTTCTGAGAAACATGGTATTTTATAAAGTGCCAAGAACACTTGTAAAATCTTAGATTTTTAAAACCTCTGAATTCCTTTATTTTTTTTCCTATTTTTTTTCCAATTTTCCAATTATTTGTTCATATTTTAATCTTTTTTCGAGTCTTAAATATTTTTTTTTATTTTAAATTATTTTTTCAATTTTTAAATCTTTTTTCAATTTTTAAATCTTTTTTCAATTTTCAATTTCTTTTTCAATTTTTTTAAAAAAATCTTTATTCAACTTCTTAATTTTCCCCCATTTTTTCCAATTTTTTTCTCTTAATGAGCTAAGATCCCTTCCAGTTCTATTCTGATTGATTGAATTAATATGGAGTAGGAAGCCTGGTGCATTGGAATTGTACTTCTAATGCAGGGATAGGGCTATACCACAGATAATGGTTTTTTTTGTTCTTCATTGTTACATAAAAAGCTTTTAATAATAACCTTCATAAGTCAAGTGTGACATGTTTTTTTTACCTGTAAATCATCAATTTTTATCTGTAAACTATAAATAGTTGCTTATATATTGAAAACATTTCTAGAATTTCTACTTAAACATACTACGATTATAATCTTATATATATGTACATGTGTATGTGTGTGCTTTGTGTGCATGTGTGTGTTTATATATGCATTAAGTTGTATTTCATGGAACCCATGTCTATTTTAGTCCAGAGAGCATAGTATCACCAGGATACTATGTCCTTTGCCAGTTTCTTTCTGTTATATAGAATCTGAGATATGGTGGCTTTTGTAGTTTGGTTTCTGAGTTATGAATTAAAAGCTCTTTGGTGTCTTTTAATTTGTCTATATATATTTAAAACATGACGACCAAATTAGAGTTAACTGCTGGTTTCAACATTCAGTCAGAAGTTGCTTTTCATTTCTACCCTGAGAAAAATTATAATCTCTCAAGTCATGTTTTATTCAGAAGAAAAGCGTTCTCTTACCTTGGATTTCTGCTACATCTTGTAAGTTGCTGTAGAAAGTTATCTTTATTCTCTTTAGACGACTTGCTTTCTTCATTTTGCAAAATTTGAACACTGCTCTTTGTCAGCATAGTTCCTAGGAGAAATAGAATTTGAATTAAAAGACTTGAAGTATTTTACAGTTTTCTATGCATCACATAATATGAAAGAAATTAATCCAAACTATTTGCTTTTGTGCTGCCCCGCTCACTCACACTCACAGGTCAGTGTGGTTTATGGAGGGTTTTATTTGTCTTCCCCCAGCAGTTCTCTTCACCCAGCTTTATAACTGTCCAAATCAAAGCCAGCCATGAGCAAACCCAGATTAATTCCCCAGGCAATGGCCAATTAGTCCATAACACAAACAGCAAGCTGCTCAAACAGTGAGTCCAATAAATGAACATAAAGCTGCCCAGGTAAAACTTAAAGTATTCCACATTAGCTCACGGGTTATAGTAATTCAGAGTCTCAGGAAACACAAACCAGCACACAGCCATGACCCACACATATTGCTTCTAGCAACGCCTCTCTCTGCCTACCTTGCTAAATAGCTTCTGGTGCAGCCCATCAAGAGGAGTGTGGCCCAAGCAATGTGGCAGACCTCTGTTACTCTGCCTTGCGTGCTCTGAGATCCATTATGGTCAGCAGCTCCTCCCCTTCTTCTTCACTGGCCTACAAGCTGTTCTCAGCCGAAGCCTGTTCTGCAAGCACTTCATGGTCAGTAATTCCTGATGTGCCAGTAATTATCTTATTCTCCCTTGAGCCAACCTCTGAGGAAGCATCAAGGAGTTATCCAAAGGAGACATCACAACTTTATGTTGATTTCACATATAAACAAGTGCCCACAGTGGTGGTATTCAACTTTTTTTACTACTGGTTCTGTGGGCATGGCTTGGTGGGTGTGGTGTGGCTTGATGGCCATGGCTTGGTGGGCATGGCAGGGAAAGGATACTGTAAAATCCCCATTTCCACCCGACTCCAGGGGAAGGATACTGTAAAATCCGTATTCCCTCCCTACCCCACTAACCTGCTTTCCAGCTCCGTTCTCCTGTGCAGGACGACAAAAGAAGAGCCAGCCAATCAGCTGGGACTCTGGAGGCAGCGAATAGATGGGGGCGAGGCCCACCAGAGGTGCTATTTACCGGTTCTCCGAACTACTCAAAATTTCCACTACCAGTTCTCCAGAACCTGTCAGAACTGGATGAATGCCATCTCTGAGTGCCCGTGCTTGAATATAGCTTGTGACATTATGCATATGGATGTGGATGTGAACCCATCCCTTGTTAACAGTTATTTTATGGTTATAGCCTAATGAAATGAAAGGAGAGAAGTTTTCAAAGAAGCTGTCATGCCCCTGGTAGAGACTGACTCTGAGGGAGAGGAGGAACAGCCGACAGGGAATGGAAGTGTGGCTCCGGAGGTTGTGGAGAAGGCTCGGGAAGGGCAGAGGCCAGCTGAGCAGTCAGAGGAGGACCCAGGCACATCCCCTATCCATCCTAAAGCACACAGGGAGGAGAGGATAAGGGAGAGACGTGGTCTACTTGGGAAGAGAGGGCCTTGATCCTCTTCTTGGGCTGCAGGTGTGAGAATTGCATAAGAGCTTGGACCTGCGATCTGGCAAATGCTGGAGACAACGCATGTTTTATTTTGGTTTGAGGTTATCTTGGTTGGCGTCCTTCCAACAGACTGTGCCTTGTTATCTCCTTGAATTTGGTAAATACTTCTCCTGTTCCATTGTGGAAATTTCATCATTGCAGTTTGTTTGGTTTTTATTTTCACCCCTATCTGCTCATTAAATTCATTAATATTGCTTTCTTTTGAAGACTATTTTTGAGTATGTTTTATCTCCAACTGAGAATTATTGAACAGTGTGGCCAAGTTGGAGGCATTAAAGGACATTTATTTACATTTTGGATTTTGTTAAGTTGTGTTGCACTCTGGGTCATCACAGAAGCTACATGAAAAAGAAAATGATTTTTACATGATTTTTTTTATTCCAGCACTCAGTCTTCTTTTGAAAATTCCTACAGGCTGATCACCTGTAAAACCTTATAAAACTATGATGAGGAGCTTGATTTAAGACTCGAGTGAATAATCTCTCTCTCTCTCTCCTATTTAGAGCTGTTTCCTGATGGATTTTACAATGCTGGCACATTGAAAGAGTCAGAGCCAACAGTGGTGAAAACTAGAGCATCCATAAAGTGATTAGAATTGTAAAGTGGGCCAAGTTCCACATGAAATTATGCTGAGGTTTACATGGTCCTCCAATGAGATGTCCCCTAGCCCTGTTTCAAAGGATCATATGGGTATTATATATTAAATTTTTATTAAAAACACAATTTGTAAGTTCTTGGCCATCAAAGAATTAATACCTTATACATAAGAATACATTGGCTGTACATATCTGAAATTATCATCTACTTTTATGATCATAATCACAATGGTATCAAAAAACAATGAATTCCTTTATCAACGGTTCTCCACTATGGTTTATAAAATGAGGTTTTGGAAGGGAAAGGAATGGCAAAATTCATTCTGTTTTCAAACATCATCTGCTAGTCTACCTCCAATGTTCATATTACAGAGTTTAAGACAAGCAGCAACAACAGCAACAAAAAAGTAAAGATATTTAAGCCAAAGGTTCATTCCAGATGAATTGTTATTTAGGTAACAAATTTCAAGGTAGAGCAACATATTAATCACAATGGAAGAAAATATTTATTACAATTTTGATTCAATCAGTAGTTTAAAATATGTTCATCTGAAAGAATTTCAGACCAGAGAAATAGGAGTAAGAGCCACAACCAATACAACAGTCCAAATAAAAGAATTTTGAATCTGGAGTAGAAATATAATTTGGGAAAGTGTCTCAGACATGACTTTCACTAATTCTCATGAAGATAAAGGGAGGGAATGGGGACATGCATTCTGACTTGCATATTATGTTACTATAACCTTATAAATAAATTATCAGTTTGAGCATCCTTGGTTTCTAAGTTTGATCTATCTTGGAGAGCTAATAATAGTTTAATAACTCAAATACAAATTTGGATAAATGAAAATTCTCAATTTTATTATTTAGTACATTTCTATGTAAATCTGTTCATTGTTAGGCCACTTAGACTAGTACTCAACACA